ATGTACGAACAATTTATTACTCTTTTTCCCGTAAACAGGCAGAACTTTCCGGTAGACCTAATATTAATTTTGCTGGACGGATAAGTCGTTCGTACATTATTCACAAATTCCGGGAACATTGTTCAGACACGAAGTTAGTTCACGAACGTGTTCCCTGAAATATCAATCTAGCAGCGCGCTAGATTTTTTCGCAGAAATCCGTGGCGTTGTGGTCGAGTGTGCTCCGTGGAGCAACAGAAATAACGTAGCCGCGTTAGCGCCACGGCGAGCTACGATTTCATTGTGGCCGCGTCGACGAAACGGAAACGAACCGCGCCGGACGCGCGCGTATCGAAATGCGTTTCTCAGGGAAAATGACGAGTCGATCTCGAAAAGAGGGTGGCTGGATGCCGGTGGTTCGCACAAAGCTAACGGGAAATCGCGGAAAATCGAGGAAAACGAGGGAGAGAGAGAGAGAGAGAGCGGGGGCGGCGTGGACACGTATCGATCGACATCGATCCAGACTCGTTTCGTCGTCGGCCGCAATACGATTACGCAACCGTGACGGCCGCGTTTTTGTCGCGGCATGGCGCGGCGAAACCGTTTTCTCCCGATCTAGACTGCGGCGGCTGTGCGCTCGCGTCCGCGAAAAACTGACACAGACCGTGCTCGCCGGAGTTCTGGGGGAAAAAACTGGACAACAAGGGGAAACTCCTTTCTTTTCGAGCGGTTCTTTCGCGGCGAGCGCGAGCTGATCGATACGACGTTCACCTCCGTCGATTCTGTCGCGTTTGAAAAATTGAAAATGCCCACTCGAGCTTCCCCGACGGTCTCGTTTAGGGACGTTGAACTCCCCGCTCCCCGATTAATGGCTTACCTGCCCGAGAACAGTTTATACTTTCCGACGATCTTTAATTCAATGTCCCCCTTCCCTCAACTTCGTTTGCCCTTTATTATCGAATAGATGGTTCGTTAACCCTCGCCCTACTGAATGCAGCGTCCGATGCCGGAGTCACTTCGAATCGGCTCTGAGTTTCGCATCGATGTCATACTGACGCAACGACGGTCGCTCGAGCCCGAGTTCCTAGTACAGTAATTTCTCCCTAATTCGCGCTCGGATTGCGCACAAGAATGGACAATTTGGGAAGAGGAGATACGATTATTCGAACCATGCGGCTCGTTTTCGTAGCAACCGATTGTCAACGTATGTCAACAATAATCGTATCTTCGCTTCCCTAATTGCCCATTTTTGTGCGCAATCTCAGCGCGATTTAGGGAGAAATTATTGTAATATTTAACTCTGAACCTATCGTTGCGGACAAAACGACCGATCTCACGCTCTTTATTGTCAAATTGTCGATGTTGAATGTCGACAAACAGGTTGAATACGAAAATCAATCTGGCAAATAGCTTTTTATTTATACGATTTTGTCTTTTCTAATCGTTATTGTTTTTACCGAGTTGAATCGTGTCAGTTAACGCAGACATCTCATAAAGAGAGAACATATTTCATAGCTTCTTTAATTAAATAAAAGTTGTAATTGAAAGTGCAAATAGTGAATAATATTACAGTTATTTCCGTAACTAAATATAATTCAATAGTTGACATTGCGAAGACTCTTTCTTCAGAAACGATTGAATAAATTCCTATGTGCAAGCTAAATTATTCTAAAAATGGCGAAAAATTTTAATAAATTCAGTCTCGTCGTTTTTATAAAGCATCATTTGTTAGCCACTCTCAGAGGTCGGCAGGTTTGGTCTTAAATCGGAATTACATTTCGGAAAGTATAATATCATGAATTGTAAAAAGAGAGATGATATTCGTGTTAATCATTCGTGTTGGAAGCGTATAATTTTTTTGTTTAGTTTTGAATATTTTTAACGCAAGAAACGTGCAGGAGTTGAAGTATACATCACTGTTGCGAGAATTGGTCATTGTATTTGTGTCTCGGGATGGCGCACAGTGAGATAAAGCGATGATCTTTTTTTACGTTAGAGCTGAAATGTTGCAGAATAAGGAAGAAATAGCGAGAATGCGGCGTGAGCATCTTTAAACATTGAAAATTGATTTCAGTCTTGAAATGTTCCCGATTGTAATTTATTCAGTACCATTTCTTGTCACATCAGGATTATGAAGAGAAATCGATTCAAGTGAAAAATTAACGAAATCGTGATTTCTTTGTTCAAATGACTTGATAATCTTCAAGATTACACTTTCAAGTGATGACAAAATTTTTGATAGCTTCTTTTGCAAACTGATAAGACGTCCAATTGACATACGTCATCAGTTGAAGGTTGACATAAATTTTTAAGGTTAGAAAATGATTATACCACAATCTCTCTATTTTCCCTTAACACTAAATTTACGGACCGACGTATGCAGCTTTACAACGATGAATAGACTGCATTTATTTAAACCTTTCGCAATTTTTATAATAACGCATGCTTGAACGAAGAAATTGATTCAATCGTTTCTTAAGAAAGAATCTTCATAATTTCAACAATTCGAAAATAACAAATGCGAGATCGGTCAGTTTACCGGCGATGGCGGTTTTAGTGTTAATCTATAACATTCCAGCTTCAACTTAAAAACAAAAAAATAGCATCGCTGTATCTCAATCAATTTATATCAATTTATATCAATTTATATCAATCAGTTCGCTGTTTTTTCCACAGCTTCGTTACTGCAGCCCATTGTGCGACAAATCAAAAGTGACTCCGGCACCGTAATCCGAGAGCTAACTTTGCGAATTCCTCCTTTGGAAATGAGAAACGGAGGGTTTAACGAATGCAGCATGTTCAGTCAGAATCAGAGAAAATCGTGTTAATTGGCGCGGGAGACGGATCGGGGTTGAAAGAATATCCTTTCCCGCGTCGAGTTTCCTTGGTGTTTTTATCGTTTATTGGAAACCGTCCGAGCAATTAGGGATTAACGAACGCCATATCGGAGCGACGTAGGAGTCGCAACAGCGCCCCGGTATGGTGAATCACCGATAAGGCCTTGGCCATGGTGTGCCAGGTAAAAGCGGTTGCGCCATGCGTGCACCTTTCACGTGTTTGCGGAGTTCGCGCGGTTCGCGAGTTCACGGTGCGGAGGGAAGCGGAAACGTTGATCGAGATCGTTATTTCATCCTCGAAAGGGAAACGCGTTACGATACACACGACGCGAAATACAGTAATTTCTCCCTAATTCGAGCTCAGATCGCGCACAAAAATGGACGATTTGGGAAGAGGAGATACGATTATTCGAGCCTCGCGGCTCGTTTTTATAATTGTTGACAAACGGTAACTATAAAAACGAGTCGCACGGCTCGAATAATCGTATCTTCTCTTCGTCCATTTTTGTGCGCAATCTGAGCGCGAATTAGAGAGAAATTACTGTACCTGGCGTCGTTCGCCTTTCCTAGAACAGAAGCACTGATATGAACTTGGCATAGTCCGTTCATGCTGGTCGTCACTTACCAGAGAGAAAATTCGCTGAGAATCCACTACTATAAATATAATAGTAATGGTCATAAAATAATAATAGAAATGAAAATAATAATCGAAACAACATGACTACAATATAAAAGACAAACAAAAACAATGTAATATTACACAATTGAGATTTAGATTGATTAAAATGACCAGTTTCTGGTTACTTTCTCTCTCTCTCTCTTTTACAATTTCAGATCCTATGAAAACGTTTATGCCAGGAATTTTTATACGAACTTATAATATAATAATAAATAATATTATAATATTATATAATATATAATATAATAATAAATAATATTAAATATTATACAATTATAATATAATAATAAATAATATTAAATATTATATAATTATTATATTATATTATATGTAGGAAGTTTAAATGGATCTCATCTTGTCATTGTCACGAAGCAATGTACATTGATCATGTTTAAAGCTTGGTAGTTCCAATGTTAATGAGCAAGTTAATGTGTCGCTAATATAAGTAAATCCTCAGTCAAACTGAGAATCCTCGGTGCAGAGATATCGGGACCCATAACGACGAGACAGAAGAACTCGGTGGATTCTCGTAAATGATCGCGGAAATTCCGCGATTCTCGAAACGGACAGCGTCCTGTTGATCGATTATGCGCTCTCACGTTACCGACGCGACGGAATCGCAGTCACGTCTTATCGCCTTGGCGGCCGATAAGGTTCAAGGAATACTTCGAACAACTAGTTATCTCTCGCTCGATGCAGGCTCGCGAAAGAACGCGACGCACGCGATGCGCGAAAAGTTACCAACGAATGCAAATAGCGCGTGCGTCTTGAAAGCCGCTCCGACGGAAGTGGCTCGCGTTTCTTTGAATTGTTCTTACAGGCGAGCGTGTGCATCTGTTTCGGGGGGGAGGCCGACGCGAAAATATGGGCGTGCATTTCGAGCAGCGGGAGCCGAACGACGAATATGGAAATCCCGAGCATCCTGGGCTCGCAACCTGAAATTAGCGAGACGTAATCCCGTGTTTCGCAGACGTCCGCGCCGGGTTGCGCAAATACCGCGCGCAGATAGATGATAGATATCGCAGCAGACTTTCCAAAAGACTTTCTGAAATCCGTATCGGAGGTGCTCGAGAACATGATCGCCGGCGTCGTGCTTAATAAATTCCTGCTTTCACGCCGGCAAACAAATTAATTGATCCCCTTTCCACGGATATCTGTTCGAGCCGTGGGACATAACGTGGTGTAACGCGCGTTTGTCCCGCTTCAGTCAAGCCGTCGCGGGGCGTTTAACCGGATCGCCTTGTACGCGTGAAAACGTCGAATCATCGTCTCGTGAGGAAACGATTCGGCCAAGAATCGCGTGCACGCTTCTCCGTTCTCGTAACAAGCGAATAAAATGCAACCGCGTGTAAACCCAGAAGTCGGCTCGAACACGGATAATTAACTTCCCGCTGAAAGCGTCCTCTGCTCCTCCGCGGGATCGCGGAAGCGAACGCGAACCCACCGTTTCGATCTATTCGAAATTATCATAGCGATGATACTATAGCCGGTGTCTCTTGTTGCAGGAGGAACAGCCGGTTCAACGGTCGCTTCTAGACTCAGCGACGCGCCGCAATGGAAGGTCCTGGTGCTGGAAGCTGGGCCCGATGCACCGCCGGGGACCGCGGCTCCCAGCATGGTGGCAATGTTTCTAGGTACGTCGCTGATTCAATTCCCTTGGCGCCAAAAAAACGGCTTCAATTTTTCTTTAACATCTCGAATGGGAATGTCTCAAAGAGTGTTAAATGAAAAATTCTTGGTAAACGACAGTTTTTGTAGGAGGCCTACGAGAGTATCTGTGTAAAATGCTCCATGTCGCATCTTGATGCCTTCGTCGATATCTTTTTAACCCCTTGCCGTGCCATTTTCTTTACAATTACACTAATTAGAACGGCTTTCGACCGCGATAATTTCTTCGAAGAAAAAGAAACTTTATATTTATCGCGTGTTCACGTCTACTTGAATGTTTAAATATTGCTTGAAGCACGGCAATGGGTTAATGAAATGGCGAATCTATTTAACCCTTTGAGCCCTGAGTTGTGCGACGCTAAGCGTTTGTTGTGGGCTGCTCACTTTTCACTACAAAGCACACGTTGGGCTGCCCATTTTTTTACGACGAAGCGCTTGCTGGACTGACTAAAATTTTATTGCGAAGTATGTTGATCGTAATTGAAACAATTTGAATAGTGACTGCAAGAACAACGAAACCGTTTATTTCATTAAACGATAATAACACGAACGATATGAAAAGTATTCAATTATATCTTTTAAATTGAAAATTTCATGCGTGAACCCATATATGTGTTCATAGCCGATGGTGAACGACTTTGCCGAACGCGTATATGGGTTCATAGAGCTGAAAGGGTTAAACATCAAATCTTCGATTGCCTCGGCTGTCGATGAAGGCGCGATGAATGAAAAATCGTTAGCAGAACACTGGCAAAACTTTCGCAAAATAGCTGCAAGAATATGTCCTCGAAACAGTGGCATTCGCTTGTCAATGTTTCCAACGATATCTTTTTAATAATACGGTGAACCTACCTAAGCACAAAGTCTTGGACTGACTCATCAAACGGTAAGGAATGCGAAATTGTTACTAGAACACCGACAAAATTATTGCAAGTATTTCTATGAAACGGTAAAAGTCGCTCGTGAACGTCTCCAACGACACCTTTTTAATAAAATCATGAATCCGTCTATGCATCGCGAGGGTAGAAGTAGAGATTGCAGAGGGATGATCGATAATCGATTGTAATTGTCGTCGTGGCAGGCACCGAGATCGACTGGCAGTATCGAACGGTGGGCGAGCAGAACGCGTGCCTGGCGATGGGGGGTTCCTGCAGCTGGCCAAGAGGAAAAAACCTTGGGGGCACCTCGGCGCACAACGGCATGATGTACACTCGAGGACACGCGAGAGATTACAACAACTGGGCAGCGATGGGCAACGCGGGATGGAGCTGGGAAGAGGTTAGACCGAGTCGCAGCGAGTGCAGTAGCCAACTGTACAAGTGCACGCACTTTCGTGACTCCGGCCACGGATTGTGCAACACAGAATCGCGTGCCGTTCACGAGAAATCGTTTGCCAATCCGTCAGTCTGATTCATGCTCATAAACATCTGGAATTACGAGCGCGACACCGATTCCTTTTTCTTCGTCGTCTGCAAACGCCGTTGACTCTGCAACTAGACAGATCGGGGCCGCTCGAATTCCTTCTGACGATCTTTGGACAGGCGTGCCTCGAGGTAGGGCAACCCCGTGAACATCGGTCATCAGTAATTCTTCAGATAAAATTTTGAAATTACGTGTTTTTATATATATATATATGTTTACAAAATTAATTTCTACGTATTCGAAGTTTTCGCGATATATATATATAATAATTATTATTATATATAAATTAAATTATTAAATTAAATTATTAATAATTATATTATATATATATAATAATTACGTGTTTATATATATATATATCGCGAAAACTTCGAATACGTAGAAATTAATTTTGTAAATATATTTTCTACGTAAGGAAAAGATTTGTTTCTTCGATAAATTCATCGGAGCCTGATATAACAAATTTCGGCTGAAATACTTTATTTTTGTGTAGAAGTTATAACGTTTTTAATATTGCTAAATTACGTAAAATTATCTCGAAAACGTCGCAAAGACGAGCAGAGACGACCATTGGAAACGATTCCGTGTTATGGTTGAAAAGATTTTACAGGTATGAAAAGGTTCAATATACGTCGCAAGAAGCATTTTTTAAACAATATAGTAATATAAAATACGTTATAACCTTCACAAGAGTATTAAATTAATTGCTAAACTAATTTGTGCATATTCGAATGTATCGTAAAGAATGCTATAAAAACACGTAAATTGCGGCTCGTTCTTACGGTTGTTGACGATCGGTAACTATAAAAAACGAGCCGCGAGGCTCGAATAATCGTATCTACTTTTCCCAAATTGTCCATTTTTTGTATACAATTTATCTTAAAAATTACTGGTAGCCGATGTTCACAGGACAGTCCTCTCTTACATATTTCACGCGTGTCCGATGCCGAAAAGCTCGCTCTCGGTGCAGCAGAAAATGTGTAACCCGGGTCGCCGCATTTGCTAAACGAATTTCGAAAGTTCGCTTAAGGATCGAATTTGACGTGGACCGAGGATAGCGACGAGTTAGGGTGGAAAAACGGAGATTGATCGGTGCCGCGCAACTTGATGCACCGCGCGGCGTAAAGAAGTTTTACGAGACACGGGTGCTACGTTGCAGGTTTTGCCATACTTCACGTGCTCGGAGAACAACACGGAGATCAATCGAGTGGGCCGTAAATACCACAGGACCGACGGCCTGCTGAACGTCGGCAGATTCCCTTGGAAACCGGCCATCTCGGACGACATCCTCGCAGCTGCTGCCGAGAGAGGCTATCCGATGTCCGAGGACCTGAACGGCGACCAGTTCACCGGGTTCACGATCGCCCAAACGATGAACAAGGACGGCGTCAGGCAGAGCGCCTCGACGGCATTCCTCCAGCCGATCCGTCACAGACGGAACCTTCAGGTCGCGCTGAACGCCACCGTCACCAAGATCATTGTCGAGAACTCGAAAGCCGTCGGCGTCCAATACATCCAAGTTAGTACAATTGGCCTCGCGCGGCCGTCGTTATCTCCGCGGGCGATACGACTCGCAAAGTTATGTGCCGGCGACGTTCGCGTAACACCGTCATAACTTCAATGACAAATTGTTCCGGTGCGCCGCGCCGCGCCGTGTCCGATTACACCGACGCCGGTTCCGGCCCATAAATCCATCATCGGTATTTTTCGCGTTATCGTCTGCACGCGCTTTCCTCCTTGCCGCGTGTACAGGCTCCGTGGGACCTCCGCGAGGGCTCAAGGTTCCGACTTCGGCGTAATCGATGCGATCCTGTTCCAGGGCGGTCAACTTAGGGTCGCTAGAGCTAATCGAGAGGTAATCGTCTCTGGCGGTGCTGTCAATTCGCCGCAGCTGTTGTTGCTCTCCGGGATCGGGCCAAAGGAACACTTGCGAGCCGTGAACGTCAGCGTCGTCAAAGATCTTCCGGGTAAGCGGTTCGGCTACGCGGATGCACTTTGAGCCGGCCTGCTCGGTCTACCTGACCGAAATTGCTCTTGGCACTCGATTTGTTCGACGAGCGTCTATCCAGCCTGCTCACAGCAACTCAAAGCACTGTCAACAATTTCGGAGATTATTCTTCTGGAATTCGTACTATGAAAACCGACGTCGTTTAAGCATTACACAGGCATCGTTTTAACCCTTCGATGGCACTTTCAAAGTGTCTCACAATTTTGTTTCGAAGGAGCGATGTCGTCACGAGAGAAATGAAATTAACAATTAATTCGATGTACACTATCGTGCATCAGAATTTGGGCACCTGCACATTATTGTCAAAATGTTAGTTATATTGTTAGCACAACCCTCTGTTATTTGATTCTAGACTTCATCTTAGACGGTCATACAATGCCTATAAATATTATAATATTTCACGTACATGTACAATTGTTGAAAGGGAGAAGCATGAATTCGAATTGGCGTGAAATTGATTTTGACGCTTAAGTTTGTTCGCTACAAGTGCTTTTCAACCGCTTTTTATCAATGTTTGGACATCTGCGTTAAATTGTACAATATTTTTAATTGTTACAAAAGCTGTCGTTGCTCAAAGAGGCGGATACACAGATGAACGCAATATTTTATAATTTTCATTCATTCATTTACGAAATTGTTCGATCGTAAATAATAGAATAAAGTCATAAATAGAATGAATAGAATAATAGAATAATAGAGTAATAGAATAAAGTTATAAAATTTTCAATCGTATCTTGCCCAGAGTCCAAATACTTATGTACGGTAGCGTACTTGTAAGTGAGATATCGAGTTCTGACAAAAGAAACAATGTTCTAGAATGTTCAAAATTATATTCTCAATTTTTCGGGTCTCGATAGCGTTGCTAGCTTTCGAGCGGCAGTCGTTCGAAAACCGAACTGAGAGAAACGCGACAGTGAAGGCTTAATACTACCGAGCCTTCAAAGTTTATTCAGACCTGCCGCCATCGTTACTATAATGTATGCTCGCATGAAAAAACTTATTCAATCACTGTCTATGAAAGAGTCTTCACGATTTCGGCAACGTTAAAATCAGAAATCTGAAAGCGGTCATTTTGACCGGCTCGATAGGTTTACTCGTTAAATTATCTTCGGCCAGTTAGGATGCTTCTAAACGATCCGCGTGCGGTTTTCGCAGGTGTCGGCGAGAATCTCCAAAACCACGTATCCTTCACGGTGTCCTACACCATCGACGAGCCGAACGAGTTCGACCTGACCTGGGCCGCGGCTTTGGAGTACGTGGCCTTCCAAAAGGGACCCATGTCTTCGACGGGCCTGTCCCAACTGACGGGAATCCTTCCGTCCTCGTACACCTCGCCCGACCACCCGGACCTGCAGTTCTTCTTCGGCGGGTACCAAGCCGCGTGCAGCATCACGGGCGAGCTGGGAGCAGTGATGGACAACGGGCCGCGCGGCATCAGTATCTCGCCGACGAACCTGCAGCCTCGGAGCAGAGGTAGCTATCGCAGCAACGATCGTATACATTCGAACGGGCGATCGTCCGAGCTTTCCCGAAATCAATATTACAAGCGAACCGTCTTTCCGCGTTAGGGACACTTCGGTTGGCCAGCAACGATCCCCTCGCTAAGCCCATAATCCATGGAAACTATTTGAGCGATCCGTTGGACGTGGCTATTCTCGTCGAGGGAATTCAGATAGCCCTGTCGTTCGGCAACACCACTGCCATGAGGAAATACAATATGACGCTTGCCAACACGCCGTTGCCTGCCTGCTCCCAGTATCGGTTCCTCAGTAACGAATACTGGAGCTGCGCCGTGCGACAGGACACCGGCCCCGAGAATCACCAAGCGGGATCATGCAAAATGGGTCCCGCCAGCGATCGCATGGCCGTCGTCGATCCCAAACTTAGGGTGCACGGTATCAGGGGTCTCAGAGTCGCCGACACGTCCATCATGCCGCAGGTATGCCAACTTTTCTTACCGCGAGCTCTCGGCGCCGTTTCATTACCTCTTTCTCTCTTTTTCTCTCTTTCGGACACAAATTATGACACACTTTTTACTCCTATTTTTGTGGAAATTAATTTTTTCTTGAGATTATATTCGATCAGCCAATAAGTCGTTACGTTTTTTTCTGTATTGTCATCTATTGGGAAAAATCGCAACGACTCATTGGCTAACCTAATAGCAGGCACAATTACATTTAGACGTTTTCGCGACGGGAATCATGGCCCTACGCCATTTTAAATTCTTCAGCTGAGCACGGGCATCGTCATTAGGATTTTAGGTATCTGTAAAATCATCGTACTCATTCTGTACATATTTGTATTGCCTAGTTTCGCAACACTTTGCGCTCGAAGATATTTTATCTAGAAAATTCTAGACGTTTCATTCGGCTTAGCAGATTTCTACTGCTCGATTTTTATTTTCCTTTTGCATGTAGAATTGAACACTTACACGTTACTATTGCTATTATTGTTTATCAATTAAACGGGCAACATACCCTTTAGATTGCTGAATATAATATACAGGTGGTCTCATAATTATCTTAATTTTCGGAAAGAGGTGATTCCTGAGGTCGTTTGAAGTTACTTTTTCCTTAGCGAGAATGCGATCCAATGAGAGGCGAATGTTCTTAGAATATTTACAAACAGCTGGACTTTGCCGTGCCCGGCTGCAGGTTTATTGAAATTTTCTTGCCGCATTCAGTCGAAAAGTCGCGATAGTTAATTAACGCGATTAAAAACTTTTAATATAACGACACAGGCAAACGTAATTTCCAGGCCAAGTTTCTCCTTTTCCCTTCGTCCGCGTTACGATGTCCGTTGATCAATGGTTAATTGATTCCGGTGTATTTATATTTGCGGTACAATATTATATTTTAATTTTCTCGCGATTCAGCTTTTTCATTCAAAAGACAAACGATCAAACGGTCGCAAGCACGGCTATCTGTTTATCCGGTTCGATTAAATTGTATCGATTATGGGATACCAGTCTAATTTGGACCCGGCTCGTAAATTGTGCCCAATTTATAATATGTAGGTAATTAATACTGCCAATAACAGTGCAAATATTTGTCGAAGCGGTTCAATCTAAATGCCAGTCCAAATTTGGTTAATATATCCTATTATAAGATAGCGGAAACCTCGTATTTCGCTTAAGCATTAACGATTGAACGAACTAGCAACGTATCGCAATATGAGACAGAGAGAGAGAGAGAGAGAGAGAGAGAATAACGATTGTTTGCCACCGAATGCCATTTCGAGAACTTTCGAATCGAATACGATTCGAATTACGATTTCGACTACGGAAGTCGTCAAAAAATGTCTTTTCCGAACCTTCGCGAGCCACCTGAGAACGCTGAAAAGCATGCAGAATATGGCCCTGATGCGTAACTATTATTTCGCTATGAATACATTCGATTATCTGTTTCGATAATCGAAAGAAGCTACCGAGGAGCTCGGGTTTTCGGATGATAAATCTAGAACGTTTTTTCGGAATGGTACGAAGGTGGTTGCGCAATTAAATGGCGAAAAGGTTGAGCGCCGTTCGGACGGAAGCCTAATCGAATCTGTTCTATTTGATAAAGGTAATATCGGGCAACACGGCCGCCCCGGCGATAATGATCGGCGAAAGAGCAGCCGCGTTCATCAAAGCGGACTGGGGCGTTGGCGAAACGCAATGGTACGGGCAGCATTACCACGTCCATACCCGTATGGGCACGTATAGCCCTCCATGGAAAAACTCAGCCCCATGGAATACGCAATAATTAAAGTCACTAGCAATTTGCCATGTTCCGTAGTTCCCGTTCTACGATCGACAACTCGCTGGATCTGTTGCTTTGGGGGATCAAATACGTCGACTGGGACCAGGGTGCCTGGTAATCAAGATCCCCGGTGAATCTAGTCCAAGATATTCCGGCGAGTTTCGCTCGAATTGGCCGCGTGTTTACCGGTGCCAAGATGGCGGCGTAAAGTCACCAAAGAGGCGAGCTCGATGGAACACACGTGGCTCGCCGGCCTTTCTCTTCGCCGCCGCGATCCATGATCCACAACTATTTCCACACGATCGGGGACAAATCGACGCGCGTGGAACGGAACTGCAGGGAACATTCGCATCAGCCGTTGGACGTTGTTATCCAACCTACTTCTATCGTTGCCTTATTTTTTTTTTCTTGCAACACGCGTTGCTGCGAGCCAAATGCGTGGCCGATTGTCCGGCTATCTACAGAGGTCCATAGATCTCGATCGAAAGCGTGTCTGCGAAATCCAGCAATTTCATTTACCGTTCCTACACCGATTTCTGCTTCTATCGCGAATTCGCAACGAGCAGACTGCGACTTTTTTTCCAATTTTCCGAGACGATTGTAATAAACGGGGATTCGGTCAAAATAAATTGTTTCCTTTGGTAATACCCGTTAAGTTCAAAATGCTGTAACAACATGATCAAATCCTTCTGGCGCGCGCGTCTTCATAATCTTATATTTCAGCTGCTCGTTTATGCGATGAACGCATTAAATCCGCGGTCCAGTAACGAGGAATTGTAAGCGACCGGGAACCGAGTGATTTTCGCGTCGTTCGGATCACTCGTATTTCTTTCGATCGAGCATAGGATCCAGAGTCGTCGGAAGAGGGAATTATAAAATAAATTTGCGAACGCGTTGTATATTATGTCGCGGTGTGCAAAGAATAACGTAGCCGATGATTTAGAGGTTTATAGCGTGAGCGTTGTGTAAACCAGTTATTGTTGGTTTTGCTCTAGCTAGGGATGCTCGGTAATCTGCACACGTCGGCTTTTATGTAGCTAAGATTATCAGAACGAGTCGAGGATTCTGTCGTACTTGGTTGGCGATAATTGTCACGATTCTTATCAACGGTGTTTTACGCAATCCAAACTTGTTTACCATCCGCTGTAGCTAACATTTGCATTTCGGAAACGAAAGCAGATTTTTCGTTACTTTTATCTACTCCCGTGAACTGCATCCCAAATTGAACCGTGCTGCGCACGGAAACGTTGGCCGATTTTTGTTAATAATAATCATCGTTGCGAAGAACGTCTACGCTGTTTCTGAAATTTCTTCCCGCCGGCTACCGCTGATCGATGAAACGAAAAGTATGTGCTCTGAATCTGACCGATACTACCGAAAATTACATAATTTCTGTCAACAGTACAGAGCAAACACCTCTCTTCACCGCAGATATTATTACAGATGTATGTACACTGGTGTACAAAATGATAAGGCATCTCAAGAATTTTTGGGTGTGAACATCTACTTGTACATATATACGTGACAAATAAATACACAACAAAGTAAGATACTAGTTTCGGCACAATAGATGAAGAAATTACGTAAATCGTTCGATCCATTTTTATTATTTATACAAAAAAGAATGAAATTTTGTGAGGATAAAATGATAAGGAACATCGAATACGAAATAACAAAAGCATTAAAATGAGATAAAATTACATGGTTTGTTTAATTTGTGGACTGTCCGTCACGTTATATACCACTTCAACTATTCTTCTTGGTAAACTTGTATGCAGATTCTTTACATACTTTTGATCCAAGCTTTTCCAAGCTTCTGAAATCACCGATTTGAATTCGGACATACTGTAATATACTGTATTAAACTGCTTTCCGCCTTCGTGAAATGTTCGGCTGAGATTTTCCCAAACATCCTCGATAATGCATAGGTCAGGAGACCTCTCTGGCCAATTTAAAACCTTCACATTTTCCGTTTCAAAATAACTTTTTACTGTGCGAGCGCGGTATGCACAGCTGCATTATCTTGCTGAAATATATATTTTGTCCCAGCAATTCTGCGAGCGTAAGTCTGAATCCGTTCCTCAAATAAATTTTATTTTCGCTTTTCCTCTGCAGTCGATACCTGCTCCACATTGTTATCGTAGCACCGCCATATTGTCGGCAACTTAGCTCACTTTTCTCTCCTTTCTTAAATCGTCGAAATAGTATTTATATCCATCTAGACCATCCAAATTCAGCTTTCTTTTTTTCATCCGTGAATATAATACGTTTCCATTGCTTTTCCCATTGAATATGCTCTATTGCAAAACTTAAACGTCGAAAATATGGTGATGGTACAGTAATGATCAGGGCAAGTATCGGATATAGAGGAAAGATGGAAATCAAATTTATTCAAGACCGTATGAATAGTGCTGTCTACTTAAATTTAATCAAGGAACAGATGGAGACAAAATGCTAGGATAGGATTAATATATATAATATAGAAATAATGCTGGAAAAATAAATATAAAATAATATAATAAATATATAATATTATTATATATAAATATATAATAATATAATAAATATAAAATATATATTACAGCAGGATGAAACGGAAAATGTAAAGGTTTTAAATTGGCCAGCAAGATCTGATATGTCGAGAATGTTTGAGGAAATTTCAGCCGAACATTATACGAAGACGAAAAGCAGTATAATACAGTCCGAATTAAAATCTGCAATTTTAGAAGCTTGGAAAAGCTTGGATCAAAAGTATATAAAGAATCTGTACAGAAGTTTACCAAGAAGAATGATTGAAGTGGTACAACGTAATGAACAGTCCACAAATTACTAAAACTTAAACGAACTATGTGATTCTGTTTCATTTTAATTCTTTTGTTATTTCATATTCGAAGTGCCCTATCATCTTGTCCACACAAAATTTCATTCTTCCTTGTATAAATAACGAATGGATCGAACGATCTATTTAATTTCTTCGTACATTATGCCAAAACTGGTACCTTATTTTGTTGAATTTGTTGTATACGTACAAATAAGATGTTCGTGCCCAAAAATCTTGATGTACCTCATTATTTCGTCCACCAATGTATATCTAGGGATTGTCGGTTGTCATAATGCCGGAACACATGAAATTACGGCGATAGAAGGTAATGGCGTTAATTGTAAGATAAAGTGCGCTACAGCTCACGGTAATTACGACGATTACTGCTCGTATTACAACACTTTCGTAATGCCGGTGCTACAATGAAACAAACCTTTGCCCGAAAAAATGTGAAAATTTCTCTAACTTATTGCTGCTAGTCTTTCTCTCACGGTACAGAACTCCTGTCTTTTCTCTATATATCGCATATTGTCTGTGAATATCTATTTTCCACTTTCCATGGTACGCTCCAGACCTTCGCAGGCGACATTAAATGCGTTTCCGATACCGTTTGTTATTTATTACCCGCGATATAACGTTGTCAGAGAACAGTAACTTTCGACCAACTGCTGAAAAAATACTTAGTCCAGTCACCGCGCGATCCTAATTACGCGTCGTCTCGAGCCACCAAATGAAAGATCAGTTGTTAATCGTTATCTAATACTTGTGAAACGTTTGCAACGACTCCCTCGCGATCAACGACACGTTCCGCAATTTACGGCTAAATCGGCTATCATCATCGTTACTAGGTGTTAGCTATAATTCCGAAGTGTCAGGACTGGGAAGCTCTAGCAAATAGATGTAACGCGAGCGTAATGCGAGGGAACACGAGGGAACGACGGACTCCGCGGATCGCCAGCACGGCGTGCGACTGTAAATCAAAATATTGTAAATAAATAGTTTTTATGGCAGAGCATATCAGGCACGGAGCCATCCTTCATTCCGCTGACGTGACAAGGTTCCTCCCCTGCAGCCACCAAGTTACCATGCGCACGTCATCGAACGAGTAATTTGTCAGTACCGTGAAACACTAGATAACGAGAGACACTTCGTACAATTATACGCGCTTATCGTCTTCACACTTGTCCCCGCCCGGCACGTCCCAACGAATTTCGTCGGTATAAAAAGAAAACAGCGAGGGAAGATTGTCAGTCAGGCCAGGTGCATTTACAGGCTTCTGTGACCCCACAGTACCATGGTACGTCGTTGCTTTTTCACTGCGGAACACCAGTCGCGGTGTCGGCCGAACATTCGAACGCTTGCTCGTCGCACAAATTTCGAGGGCTGAACAGAGAACTACAGTAACTTCTTCCTAATTCGCGGTCAATTTGGGAAGAGGAGATACGATTAATCGAGCCGATTTTTATGGTTGTTGACAATCGAAAGAAGAAACGAGCCGCGAGGCTCGAGGAATCGTGTCTGCTTTTCCGAAATTGTATACATTCATAAATTATTGTAATATAAATTACCGTCAACTGCTCGGGCAGAGATAAAGAATCGCTGAATAATTATCAGCCTTTTCGGTACGAGTAACTGTACAAGAAATTGTAAATTGCGCTCGAAATTCGAAGAGGTTTTCCCGTAAACCCGTAGAATCGTCAAATTTTTATAAAACGAATATTCTCACCAGAAAACGGTCGACCTCCGAATTGCACTAATTTGACGGAACAAATCGAATTTGAACCGACCGGATCACGCGTGGTTCCCTGAATATTTTTACATTCTTTTCAAAAATCGACTTCCGTTCTCCAGCGAAACAGCGGGATATCGGGCAACTTGATTCAGGGATATCGCGTACCGCGTTTCCCCGTATGCGTGTTGGGTAAAAACCAGCGTTTGAAAGGAAACTGTTGCAGAGTGTGAGCTTATACGACGCTGTTCCCGCGCCAGTGTGCGCCCGACCCTTTGTGGGTGGGCCCCAGCTGACGGATGTCTGCGCAGCGGGCACATCGTCGGTGTTTCTGACGGTTTTGAACTCGCTCCTGATCGCGTCTCCAGAGATCGGAGACCCATGCGGACGTGTCCCTACACATGGGAGCCCGAAGCTCAATTACGACTTCATCGTCGTCGGCGGTAAACCATCTCGTCACGTGTTTCTTTTCCGTTTATTCCGCGAAACGGTTGTACATTCGAATCTATCGTTGCGCAGCTGGGGCAGCAGGACCAGTGATAGCTTCGAGGTTGAGCGAGAAATGGTCGGTGTTGCTGGTGGAAGCTGGTCCGGATGAACCGGCTGGTGCGCAAGTGCCCAGTAATTTTCTACTTTATCTCGGTAAGAGGAGTTTATCCGTTGATTCGAGTTCAGCCGAATTTATTCGAGGAAGTGGTAACCTCTTGTTTTGGCAGGTGGTGATCTGGATTGGAAGTATCGCACTCAGGACGAGTCGTACGCCTGTCTGAGCACTGGCGGTAGCTGCTACTGGCCACGTGGTAAGAATCTAGGCGGGAACACGATGCACCATGGTATGGCCTATCATCGAGGCCACGCCAAGGATTACGAGAGATGGGTGAACGATGGCAACGAGGGATGGAGCTGGGACGACGTACTGTATTCCTTGGATTGACCAACAATATCCTTTGGAAAACAGCAGTCTTTTTATCGTCCCTATGTTCCAGGTTATACCGGCCTTCAAGAAATTGGAGGACAATCGAGAGATCGGCAGGGTCAGCGCCGATTTCCATGGTGTCGGAGGCTTGATGACGGTCGAAAGGTTCGAACTCCCATTCTTGTTTTAAGTCGAGTCACAAATAACTTCCGATGCAGCTAGGTATTAGGTTGGTGCGTATGATATGACGGATATTTTTAGGTAAATATATAGAACTGCATATCTCTTTTCAAAAGCTGTTTATTTAATCAAAATATGCTCTATTTGCTTCAATACACTTTTGCCAACGAGATTTTAACGCATAGATGCCTGTCTTCAAGAAATTCTGATCTTTAGGATCGATGAATTCTGATATGGAATTGTTCAGACTGTCTTCATTTTCGCACTGTTTAGCCCGTACAAACTGTTCTAAATGTTTAAAGAAAATGAAAGTCGAATAATCCGGCGAACAAGCCGGGTGCTGCAGTAAGAAAATAAAAACCGAAAATAGAAAATAAAAAATAAGAAAGAAACGGAAGTTATTTATGACTCGACCGAACAGATGGTTTGTTGGAGATTATGATTGTGCGTCTGACGCAGTCTAGTGATCAGCGTACGATCTTCTCTCCCAGATTTCCCTGGCATCCTGACTTCGCCCTAACAGTTTTGGAAGCAGCCAATGAGACTGGCTACGGAGTCACCGAAGACATGGTCGGCGAGCAAATCACCGGTTTCACGATCGCCCAAACGATCAGCAAGAACGGCGTGCGAGAAAGCTCCATAAAATCGTTCATCAAACCGTTCAAAGATCGCAAAAACCTGCAAGTGATCAGCAATTCCTTGGTTACCAAAATCGATGTTAAAGGCAAGAAGGCTGTCGGTGTCAATATCGAAATTGTGAGTGATATCAATGTCTCGATATACAGGGTGTTCCATGATTACGTTAACACCTGGAAAAGGGTGATTCCTGAGGTCGTTTGAAGTAACTTTTTCCTCAGCGAAAATGCAATTCGCGGCTTTATTTACGAGTTATTAAGGAAAAACACTGACCAATAAGAGCCGAATTCGCCTAGCGCTAGGCGGTCCATCCAATGAGCGGAACTGGGCTTCGACCGCGCGTTGGCCGCCTTGCGCCAGCACAGCTCGCCTCTGATTGGTCAGTGTTTTTCGTTAATAACTCGTAAACAAAGCCGCGGATTGCATTTTCGCTGAGGAAAAAGTTACTTCGAATGACCTCAGGAATCGCCCCTTTCCAGGTATTAACATAATTATGGAACAGCCTGTAGAAAATTCCTAACAGTAACATTTTCGTACAGAACGGAGTTTCCCACTACGTTGGAGCGAACAAAGAAGTAATCGTATCAGGAGGAACCATCAACAGCCCGCAGCTGTTGATGCTGTCCGGTATCGGGCCCAAAGATCACCTGGAGTCCCACGATATTCCCGTGGTGCTCGACCTACCCGGCGTGGGCGAGAATCTGCACAATCATCAGTCGTTCGGTATCGACTTCACCGTGAACGTGGCGAAATTCAGCGAGCTGAACGAGGGCAGCGCTATACAGTATCTGACCAACCAAACCGGACCCCTATCGGGCACAGGCATGGCCCAGGTGACGGCCATCCTGTCGTCGAAACTGACCACTCCGGACGATCCGGACATCCAGATCTTCTTCGCAGGATTCCAGGCCGTGTGCCCAAGCAAGGATCATATCGTCGACATGAAGGACGACCCCACGAGGATGCCTGTCAGGTTCACGTCTGTGAACGTCCGTCCGACCAGCAGGGGTAAGTTCGAGGGCCCTTCAGATCTTAGACTTTACCTCGGCCGAGCGTTCGTCCGAGTTCAGCCAATATAAATACCTTGCCATGCTTTGGACAGTCTGACTCGCGATGGAGATTTCTAATGGTAATCTGTTGAACACGAATGTTGTTTCGTATGATACGAGGAATCGCCGGTGGTCAGGATGCGACAGAATGAACCGAAGCGTCCAACATGGATTGATAATAATTTATTTGAACGACCACAACACACGCGCACAACAAGATATACAGATGATTGAAGCACGGCTTCTAATAAGCGCAAGGGCGCAAAATAGTACTAGTGCGGCTGTATAAATAGACACCTGGCCTGTATATATAGACCTGGGAAGCATCGTCAGGCGCCGATGCAGAAAAGGGTACAGCAAGGGACTAGAACGGTGGAGCCAATTATTGTGGTGTAGCAAAATTACTGTGCCATTTGTTTTATTTTCAAGCATGACTGATTTTATATCTATCGTATAAATAAGTAATTAATTGATATTTTATATCGATTAATTACTTATTTCTTGAAATTAAACATATAAACTACCACTTAAAATACCACGAAAATTATTCCAATTTTTTGATACTAAAATCGTTCTAGGTAAGATGTCACAATGTTCATTGTATTGTGAACAAAAGAAACTTTGAAATGGACCTTAAATTCCCTAAGTATTTAAATGTTTAAAGTTCTGTTTCATAGCGAAAACTCCTGAAGTCTGCTAACAGAGCACAGTAATCGGCTCCTCTACCCTAATTACACATATCGCAGATGATGCTCTCGATTGGAGTTCACCAGTATCATACGTTTTGTAGAATCGACTGTTCGATGATCCCTGTTTGTTGTTCGCAGGTCGCATCTCGCTCCGCAACAAGAACCCTCACAGCCATCCGGTCATCTGGAGCAACGACTTGGGCACCGAGCATGACAGGAACGTGGTCGTCGAAGGTGTCAAAGTGATTCTGAATCTCGCCAACTCGACGGCCATGAAGAAGGTCGGTTTGGAAAGAGACGACGACCGCGTGCCGCAGTGCACTCAACACAAGATGGACTCCGATGACTACTGGCATTGCGCTATCACATACGAGACCAGACCCGAGAATCACCAGAGCGGCTCCTGCAAAATGGGTCCTTCCAGCGACCCGATGGCGGTGGTCAACCCAAGGCTACAGGTTCACGGAATCGAGAATCTGAGAGTGGCCGATGCCTCTATCATGCCTCAAGTGAGTCTAGCACCCATTACGTCCGTAGAATTACGTTTCCGCGGAAGACAGTGGAACTAACGTTGGCTCTGTGTTTATAACAGGTGATATCCGGTAACCCTGTGGCGGTGATCAACATGATCGGAGAACGGGCAGCCGCTTTCATCACACAAGATTGGAATGACCAATCGGACTGAACTGGAATCGAAATATGTGCCAAATGATAATACGTAAATATGTTTTGAAAATTGGACACTCGAAGATTGCGAGCGAATAAATCATTTTTTTTGACCAGCATTAAGAATTGGGCTTTATTTGCTTCGGCGTCGTTCTTCCCAATATCAAATCCCAGATATTCACTCAGTATCAAAGTCATTTTATTAATGAGAAACCGAAACTGGGTAGTTAACATCTGCCATAGTATAACGCAGTATAGTACCACTCCTAACCAAAAGTATTATATTTGAACACCTTTTAAGACACAGTTACCTTTCTTAAAACTCGACCAACTGATTTCAACTTTCCTTTAAATGGGAGGGGGGACTAAAATGGGACTAAAAGGGGACTAAAATACCTTTTGTCAATTCTGATAATGCCTGGAATGATAAAGAAAGTAAAAGAACCTGAAACAAAAATTTATAAAATATGTTTTTATAGATCTCGATAATTTATATGCATACCGAACATTTCATCGAAATGGGTTGATATTGTTGTGAGGTGAAAAAAATTAAAGGTCGCGAGAATTGTAGTTTTTCACGGATACCAAGCGAAAACGATTTTTATATCTTTCAGTGACTTTCAGCGTCAACCGATTTCAATGAAATTTTCAGTATGAGTATAAGTTACCTTCAAAACGCATTGTTTACACTTTCGTCATCGGCTCAGATAAAAAGGTTGGGAAACGAGAGCTTTTCATACTTTTCTTGGCATTCCAAGTAACAATAGCAGAATTTAAAAAATGTATTTTGGTCACTGAACAGTAAACCAGTTCCTCTAGCATTTGATAAAAAATCAAGTCATTTAGTCCAGTATTAAAAAAGTCATTGCTAGTTCCGTTCACTTTGATCGAAAACCTTAGTTTTAAATTAGTTTAAATTAAAAAAAATTAGTATCAACCACACGTGACCGACGCGACACTCAACCAGTCAGAGATTAAAATTGAAGTCAGTTTTAGCTGATTTAATTGAAGCTACTTTGTACTAGTTTACAAAAGTAACAATAAGACATTCCTTCTGATTTTGAACGAGTGTTACTGCAACATTTACCGCAAATAACACATACATTGAACAAATAACTCATGAATGCACCTTTAAAATCTGAATACTCGTAAATCAAACAATTTACGTAATTTCAACGGATTCCGCAATCCTAGAGTAAAAATGATCGCTAGACCACGGATTTTTACGCAAAATAAAAATTGCTTGCATTAATTGCAAGATGAAACAGCCACATATACATTTCGTTCGTTCTCCAATTGTGCCATTGAATTCGAAAAATATGAAAATTCTTTAAATGTTCTCACTGTTTTCTATTCGCTCTGCTCAGTTTTTTTTACCATAAATGCATAAAATCCGCAGTCTAATGATCGCATTGATTTCGTGGCAGATTCCAGGGTCTACGAATCTGCTTCGTCCGTGGAACGGACGGAAAGAGAATTCTACGAGATACTTGACTGCCGCAAAGGTATCAGAGACTGTGAGACGATAAAGCAACGCACAGGACGCTTTTTGACACCTAGTTGTGTAAGCAGAGGGTTGGTTCGAGGGTAGGGTCGAACGTTGTAAGAGAAATCATTACGAGCACGTCCGAGTGTCTTAAGTTATTCCGTAAACGGTGCTTATCCATTCCGGGTAGTCGATATAAAGCAAAAGTTCTCTCGCTTCGACGACGACGACGACGACGCCGCCGTTGACGAAGACGGCGGCGACCGTGAGAGGTACCTACCGTTCGTCAAACACTGAAACTCGAAGACCTTAAGCCCCTCTTCGCGGGAGATTTCCCGAGAATCTCGAACTCCTAACTCTTGCATTCGAAAGCGAATACATATTTGTCCTGAGACGAGGCAGGTAGACTCCGCTTCGTTTCCGGGGATTCCAAAGACCGACGACCGACGACCGCCGCAGATCCGGCGAGGTAAAAAGCTCGCGAGCCATAACGAAGGCCGACCGAAACGAGGAAACTAATTTCGTCGATCCGTTCCCGAAGCGCAATAAAACGTAATAACGCGATTTAATTAAAACTAATAACAATGGCCGCTGAATGCATCCGAAATTGAAGGGCGCCCACTCGCGCGAGATATTGTCTGGAAGGATGATTAAGAGAAAAGGGGAGCGACAGAGGGAAAAGGAGTGGAAGAAACCGGGGGAGAAAGAAAAGGAGAGAAAGAGAGGTCAGGTCGCCGAGCCGAGTCGAGCCGTGCGGAGCCGGTGGAACCGCGAGAACGACGGCAGAGCTAGGAGAGGCGCACTTGACCTCCTTGGAATCGCGCGGCTCGCGCTTACACGCTCGCTCGCTTCCCGGACGCGCAAGCCGGCTTCAAGCTGCATCCCGATTTCACGACGCATCGCCCGACCTCGGTGTCTGTTCGACCGGCTAAACCTTTCCGCGGCTAAATGCGCTCCAACAACGACTAGACCGCGAAGAAACCAATCGTCATCGAAACGCGACGGATGCGCTACTGTGTTTCGATGCAACGCGTCTTGCTTAGATATCATATTTTCGACACCGTGCTCGAGTTTTCGACCACCTAGTTGGGGAACAGACTCGGGGCTCTCAGAAGTCCGTGGAGAGTAGAGCGCATCGATGATTCAGTGTCGAAAGACCTGGATTTAGACTCCAGGATAGGGTTGGGCATGCATGAGCTCGATGAGATCCGCATTCCAGTTTCTCGCATACATTATAAAGACACTATAATTGAGACAGGAAAGTATTGGAACGTCTTTTAAGACAGAATAACTTTTCTCATAATCGAGCCAAACGATCTTAATTTGTTTGAGATGTTAGAGGGATCAGTTTACTAGAAAATGGCTAATAAGATTATTTTCAGAAGTTGCAACTGCTTAAAATGACAACAAAATTAAAAAGCTCAGGTACTAAATATGGTGGTTGTTCAAGTTTTTCAAGTCGAAATAAAATTCTACCCTTTTATCCTTTTAACACAAATACAAATTATCTGTCTGGCGTTGGAAATCTCAATGGAAATCTCAAATGGACGTAAAACGGACGTCTTCAAGCCGTCGTGTGCTATCTGGGGATACGCAATATCCAACAAGAATGTCACGATTATTTGAGATAATTATACGGAACAACAATAACGCGAAATAACGTGTTATTATGAAATAAAATAACATATTATTTGAAATATGTTATTCGAAACAGTGTTGCAAATAATGTGATTCCAAATGTGTCCAGGTTTGGCGCGCAGCGAACAAAAATGTCGAATCAGAAAATCCTAAAATAAAATATCAATCGGAGCAATTTGTTCAGAAAAATGGGCAAGTAGATGGTGAAAGCAGCGACGGCGCCCGAGGAAATCGCGAAGAGGGTGAAACGGGGAGAAGAGAACGAGAACGCGCGGGCTTTATGGATTTCAGCTTGAAATTTCTTTGCGCGGTAGTCGCAAAGGAGTCGCGGCCGTTGACAGTCGTTAGCAGGTGCTCGAAACTATCCCTTTGAGTGGCCGAAAACCCTGGAATTACTTCGTCAATGGAAACTAATTAGTACCATTCGGGGGAAGGAGTACGGAACGAGAAGTTCTTCTTGTTGCGGTCGGCTTGAGTGCTGCGCGATATATACGCCGCGTACACGTTCGCTCGATAATAGCCAACACCGAAAAAGGTTGCGTCGGATAAACAGAGAAGAAGAGAGAAAAACAGAGAGAGAGGGAGAGATGGAAAGAGAGAGAAAGAAAGCGGGAGAGACGAAGAAGAGAGAGAAAGCGAGAGAGGAAAGAAACGGGCTGCGCCGAGAGATATGGGACTGCGAAGTCGACTGCGAATACGTTAATCCGTGGAAAGTTTATGCATTCAGGGCAACGAGCAAAGTAGTCCTTGATTTCTGCTTGCCTTACGGTGAACCGCCTGCTTTTACATTCACTCTGAAAATGGCAGCTGGGCTCGGTCTAACGCTACCGGAATATCGCGTACGCTCTGCCGCCTATTCACCGAGGCAATTCCAATGTCATCGGAGTTGTTCGACGCCTGCTCGCTATCGCCCCATCAATGTTTCTTGCGAAGCTGTTCCCGAGATCGCTATCGGTTTCCATCGCGCCGATCCGAGACCACCGACAGAACCTCACCCATCCTCGACGCAACACCTTCAAGTTTCACCTCGTTGCAACGCAACGATTTGTCTGGATTCAAATATCAATTTCTCTGTGCGGTTTATACTAACGCAACAGCAACCGTAAAAGTTCGAACAGGTTCCACTTGATTCTAGGACGCTTAAGGTATTCGAAGTTTCAAGGTCTGCTCACGGGAAGGTCAAGGTTATGTCAAGGTTAATAGGTTAATAATAAAGGTTAATAATAAGATAATAATAAAGATAATATTTGTAACACTTTCTCGTTCATAAATGCGAAATGACCTTCCCTTACTCTTTACTTATAATACTATTATATTATATAATATAATAGTAATATAATATTATATAATACAGCAGTAATATAATATTATAGAATATATATTAATATTAATAATATTAATAATATTAACAATAGATTGACGGAGCGCTAAAAGCAGCTGTTTTTTATCAGTTTATAAAAGCAACAATAAGACATTTATTGTGATTTTCAACGAGTGTTATTGTAACATCTCCCGCAAATAATAACAGATACACAAATTGGATAAATAACTCATAAATGTATCTTTATAATTTGAATAATCGTGAATTAAAAAATGAGTGATCCGTCATTTTCGCGGGTTCGGTAAACTCAGTATTAAGTAATACATTTAGGTATCAATTAATGCAAGAACAAAAATATAAATAATGTATGGAAGACCATTGTTAGAACAAAAGAACGCGTTGAAAATCCCGTGGATATTTTTTGAACGTCCCTTATGTGTGCCAGGGTTCAAACAGAAACCGGATTGTTCACACTTATCGCAATATCGTGGATTTTTACGCACCGGTTCAAAGTGCTCTGCGTCGATCAGTTCGTTCTACTGATCACAATTGTTGCAAGGTTGTTGATTTTTATACGCTAAAGTTAAAAATGTCCTGCATTCATTGATTCGTTCTGCCGATCACGGTCGTCGCAAGATTATAAACTTCTGCACAATGCTTCAACGTGTTCTAAAAAAA